ACAGAAAAGCAGTACTTTGCCAACTCCACCAAAAAACACAACGGACACCATATTCCCGTGGGTTCAATTGCAGTTTGTAGGCAACATCTTCCAAGTACTTTAACATGCAATGGTACGTACATCAGTCTAGACAAAGACGAGTATGTCATGTTACCAAACAACTCGGTCTACAGAAATGTCTCGAATACAGTCTACAACCAAGGCGAATATCGCATCATCAATGGAAGCATGGTTGTGTGTACTGAGTACTTGAACTGGAAGAAGTACACTAAAACGCAATCAACTGACGAGTCACAGAATGACACAGCCCTACGTATACTGACATCCATTGGTCTGTCCTTGTCTGTCGCTTGTCTTGTGTTTGTACTGGTGACGTATCTGTTATTTGGAGAACTCAGAACATTACCAGGTATAAACCTTATGAATCTATCGTCAGCTTTACTGGTGGCCCATTTCGTGTGGCTGATTGGATCAGGCCAGACAGGTTCTCACGGAGCATGCGTAGTCATTGCAGTAATTCTTCATTTTTCATTCGTTGCTTCATTTGCTTGGATGTCCATTATAGCTTTCAGCACATGGAAAATATTCTCTTCTATGCGAAATGCAAGTGCATCAACTGACAATGCAAGGAGAAAAATGAAGATACGCCGCAACCTTGCAGTTGGATGGCTCCCTGTTCTCGTATTGGTTCTCATTTGTCTTACCCTAGATCAATCAGGAGCCCTTGAGATCAGGTACGGTGGTCCCAAGGGATGCTGGATCAACAATGGTCGTGCCAACGTCTTCATCTTTGTTCTACCAATAGCAGTGTCAGTGGTGTGGAATGCCGTGTTCTTTGGTTTGACAGTGAAAGCTCTTCGTAAAGTGGCACAGCAAACAAGAATGGTCAAGGAGCAGCGCGACTACGATCCAGTGTATGTCAAGATTTCAGTGCTGATGGGGTTCACGTGGATCTTTGGCTTTTTAGCCTCATTTGTGTCTCCTTATTTTCTGTACCCGTTTGTTGCACTGAATACCGTTCAAGGGGTGTACATTGCCGTGTGCTTTACTTTCACAAGACGAGTAAAGATCTTGTACGAGACCTTGATTTCTGGATCCAAGGAAAAGGCGAGAAACCCAAAAGCGCAAGGTTTGCAAGTTAATGGAAAAACACAAACTGGGAGCACAAGTTTGTAATCTCTTGTTGAAGTTAGCAGTACAAGCGGTATACACTTATTTCAATAAAGTTAGTCACCTGAAAAGCTACAAAGCTGAGACCGGCAAGGATCATGGGTAGATGCATTTTACATGTTTCAACGGCTTGATAACTGTTGATGGACTTGAGATCTTTTTCCAGTTACTCTCACCTCTTCTGAGCATCCTCAACTGCTGCAGTTTGTCTCAAAAGCTTAACTTGATGGATATAAAACATTTCCTATGATTCTTAGCAATCACGGCTTTAACTAAGTTTTTGGTGACTAACTTTATTGAAATAAGTATATATATCAATGAAATTTTCATGTAAACCGCTCTTTGTGCAGATCGATAGTTTTACATTTATTTTGAAGGCTGGTTATATTTATTGCAATTGTAGTATTAACGATCACGTGACCCTATAGGGTACTTTCCGCCATGTTGTTGTTATTGTTCTCGAATTCCATTGAGAAAACGTGTGATTTCTTTTGTATTTTCTTGATAGCCTCGCATTCAAGACACATTTGAGAAGGGCCATTGTCCTCAGATCACTTGTCAATATTCAATGATTCATAAGTTATGCTTAAAATCCTTTTGAACGTTCCTTGTATCAGGTGCGTATGTACCTGTTGCGTTTTGAATAAAAATGATTTTTTAAATTTACCGTTTGCATGATAATGGTAAAATGCTCACAATTATATAACTAAATTTTTGTATGCATGCAATACAACCTAAGTTTCATTTTGCCCCCCCCCCCCCCCCAATAAAATATATGCTCCTTCGTCCTAATGTATAATGTATCATATACATATGTTTCGATAACCGTTGTCATCTCCAAAGTTGCCATTTCCATTTAGGAATGACCTATCGCCTATTGCCTTTGGCGATGACAACGTTTATTGAATAAGTGTACGTATATCTAAAACTAGTCTTTTCTAATAGAAAGTGAAATGGTGCGAATAGTAATCATTATCATTAGTAACAACCCGTGAAATAGATATTACCATAATATAGCAATAATTTAATCATATTGTTACTGAAAAGTTAACCGCTGGCCACTAGGACCTAAGGACTCGCTAGGACCGCTAACTGGCTCAAGTTAGACAGTTGACATACGTTTGTACTACGTTAGAACGGTAGCTTAATGCCTTAATTTTGAAGTTCATTCGTAGTCATGTTTAGCTCTAATTCATGTATGCTTGCTGTTACATATTATTACTGTAAAAGCCGTAATTTTGTTGCAGTTTTCCTATTAGTTGTATCGTAGGAGACTTTCATCGCTGTGAATTCAAAACTATTCATCTTCGAGGACCTTTTTCTTCAGTTATCTTTGCTAAAATGTAGTACGAGAATGGCAATGAAAAAATAAAAACTATGGTGACCTTTTAATCAAGATTTTATTGTTTTTCAACATTTTTTTATAATAAAACATTAGAATATTTTTTATTCCTTCTGAGTTATGGGGATTTATATACATATATGTGTATATGACTCTATTTAAAATAATTATTGTACATGTTTATGTAATATATAAGTTTAGGCACTGCCTAAAAGCGGAGCTCCCAATAGCACAGGGAGCCCAATTTAGATGAAAATAAAATCGGGCAAAAAATCTTCAATTTTTTCTCTCCATCGAAATGAAGATAATGTCCCCCATAACGAAAATTATGAAGCGAAGAAATGAAATTGGAATGCACTACGTCGGTTTTTTTTCCGCACGAGTCTTTGTTTCCGACCTTAGTACCCTCCCACTTAACCGTCCACCCCAGGGGCTAGTTTTGTTCTTGAAAAATTCTTCGACAAAGTTTTGCATGGCCAACATTTTTACGCTTTGAATTCCTATTTAATTTTACTTGAAAAACGAAAGATAGCTACAGATAATCCAATAAAATGTCAAGTTTAGTAAAATTTACCTTGGATGTCTTTCATTAAAATCCAAATTTTGGAGATTTCCTAACTTTTTATGGACAAATGAACACGGAACATAAAGACAGACTACAAAACTGCTTAAAAGAAAAGGTGAGCAAAACATAAGCTTACTTTCACTTCTTTTATATGACAATGTTTGGCTATCCATATGCAGAATTTAGGATTTTGTAAGAACCGTATATTTACCGCAATGAAATTAAGAAAATAAATGATTTGGTAGCATCAGAGAGAAAATTTTCTCTCAACAACACAAATTTAAAGCTCATTTGTATAATCATACTAGCTCGAACAGCTTTATAAAAAGTTGAATATTTGGTGCAATTTTATATTTCATTCAATATTTAAATAAGTTATCGATAGAAAGATATAAAATTATTGAATGAAAGTCTTCTTTTGTTTGCCGATGGGACCCCGCGCCCGCTATAGGAGGCGAACAAAGCTGCATTTTCTTGAACGAAAAACATACGATAGTTGGTTAAAAACAACCGTATTGATTTACAAAGCTAGATAAAGGACGAATATTTGTTGTATAATATTTGCTCTCCGGATTATATTTCATCCAGCATTAAAATCAATTAAGCTTATCTATAGAAATATTAAAAGCTTTGAGAGAAATTCTTTGATTTGTCGATAAAAAATCTTGTCATAAAAAATAATAATATACAATTGTTTGCTAAAAAACACACACCTATCTTTGACTATATGATTTTTCTTATTTGTTGTTGGTCTATAATTTGTCCTAAAGCAAATTTTTATGTGCATTTGAGAGCCGCATTTGCGAGTAGTTTTGCTTTGACATCAAGCGGGATTCCTGTGTTGTGTACACGGACGGAGGGACGGACGGACGGACGGACGGACGGAAGTGACGTCAGCCAAGCCATGAAAAATCAACTCGATGGTTTAACATTTTTTCTTAAGTAACAGCAATATGTCATGAACGCAGCAATTTGTTTTGAGTGGTCCGATTCCAGTTATGACTGACATATTTCTAAAGAAAATCTAAAGGTGTTTAGCTTGTGATCGTCTTAGCCAAACGTACTCTGTCAGGCAGATACTGAATTGAGGGACAGCGTTAATTCGTCTGGAATAAGACTGCAAGAGCGTTCAAGTACAACAAGTCTCCTTGCATTAGTATTTTGTCGATTATTTCTGTCTGCCATTGCAGAACTGGCGGCGACTGGGCACAGCGCTGAAAAGCTAATAGTAGAACATTGTCTTCCCTTTGAAAGGTCACTAAATCGTGCGTCACCTTAATGAATACTTCCAGCAATAAATAAAATTAAGTATGACATAATTTAACAACGAAATACTTACCTAGATGAGAGAACAACGAAAATTGTAGAGGAGAGTAATAAAAAGTCATTTTATATTGCGCAAAGAGCTAGTCTCTTGCTTAGAAATCCTCGCTATGCTGATTCTGACTTTTTTAACAACGAATAACGATTATGGCCATGGATGAATACTCTTCGTCCTGACCACTTCTGCCTTTCATGGTCTCTCAGTTGATTATAGATAGTATTTAGTGCAATACATTTGATACGCGGTTTTTCCCCCGGGAAGCACGGATGTAGGCGCCGCTAACTGAATGCGCCGTCTCTCACCACTACGACTCGGATTTGAATCCTGGACTCGGTGTCGTACGTGAGTAGAGTTGCTTGTTGGTACCCTTCGACAGTGCGCGGTTAAAAACAAGGTTATACCACAAGGTCGGACCACAATGTAAACTACTGATTTCCCAGTAATTGTGTATATCCAATAAAATTATTATTATTATTATTATTATTATTAATCTTCTTATTCTTATTAGATTATTATCATATAGGGTCTACTGAATCATGACTATGTCGTCATTGTCTCCGCCAGGCTGCATTGTCTCACGCTGTAATACAACAGCCTGCAGAGTTCAAAAGTGCCTATGTTTATTTGTTTGGCCGGACAATTCCTGCATCTTCTTAAGCTGTTGCTTTGGTTCAGAAAATTTTAGTGCAACATTTTCATAGCTTTTTCTCGTAGCTCTTTGATTCTCCAGCAATAAATGATTGGATTCAGCACACCATTCAACATGACAAGAGTTTCAACTGTGGCCATGGCATATGCGGCATTTGTTGGAGAAACGTTTATTGCCGTTATAGCAGCAAACACAATTGCATACGGCACATAGCACAAAACAAAAGCACCAATCACATAGTACATAGTGTTGACAGATTTCTTGTATCTAGGCATGTCTATAGACTGTTTTACCGATTGCTGTTGGGAGTGGATCTGCACTGAGTGTCGCCGGATGACTCGCGAGATTTCGAAAATTAGATACGCATTAAGAAATAAAAGGGATAGGAACGAGAAGACTGATATTATAGTAAGTACGCGTATTAAAGTGCCTTTTTTCTCAATTAGTTCTTTACACAAACCAACTGCTATACTAAAGACGAAGATACAGAAAAGGGTGATAAAACAACGTCTTCTTGTAGCGATTTCCTGGTAGCGCAAGTGTAGCCGGAGAGCGAGGAATCGATCGATAGTGATGGTCGTTAGTATAAGAAAAGAACTTGTTGCAATTATGGTGAGGCTGAGATGGTACATCCAAATAAGTGTAGAATAGAAATGGAAACCCTCTTGTACTGCAGAAGCCAAGGCAACAAGGAAGCAAGGTTGAGATAAGGCACAACAACAGAGATCAGACAAGGACAAACCAAGAATTAGAATGTTAGAAGGTATTCACAACGACAGTGTTTTGGAAATGGTGTACACAACTAGAACATTACTAAAAGCCGCTATTACAAAAATCAAAGCATTCACAACAAGCAGACAGACCAAAAAGCTGTAACGGAGCGAAAAATATGCGTACATTGTATTGCTTGAAGAAGGTTAAAGTTGACGTTTATGTAGGCGTATAGGTTGTTGTTTTCTTATGAGACAATGAATCGAGAAGAACTTTATCTCTACTTCGCTAGGCCATTCTTAGTTTACAGACCACTAAAAATTGTTATATGTTATATAGCTTGTCTTCGGTCAGTTCCTTGCTCCTTCAGGATAAAAACCCGCAATCCGTACCAATTTGTTTTGAAATAAATGTTTCAACAGTTTGTAGTAACGGGAAAGTCTTCTTATCTTAAACGACTAATAAAGTTATTCGTGGTTTTTTAAATACTCTGCCATCCCATTTTAGTTGTTGCATAATGAGGGTACTTTCAAATTTACCAGACATTTTGCAAAATAATACATGTACCGAAGGCTTTTATGGAAACGTGAGCCCACTTAAGAGCACTCAGCTACGGAAGTACTCGAGGCAAATTACGCTTTTGATGAAAGAAGCTTACATAGTTCTCCAAATGATGGACAGAAATTGATATGGTGCTTGAAAATCGAGATTGTAAAACTGCCTTTTCACCATCCAAGTAATACAGAATTAAAGGTTTCTTTACGTGCCCTTCTTCAAGTGCGAACTCAGTAAGGGGTCTTCTTTCTTGGGCATGCATCTTGCATGTGGTTGAGTTGACTGAGAGCTTTGAGAGCTTTGAGAGCTTTGATACAAGCAGACATTAAGCAAATGTAGTCATATAACAGGAAGTGCTCACGCACAAATACCTAAAATTAAAGTGCATTGAAATAGAGGAAGAACATGTATGAAAAACCGATATCTGACCGGCCACGTTTTCATGCTATTTATTTATTTATTATTTTTAATTACAAATTTCAGTGTTTTAGCACAAATAACTGAAAAGTGATAGTACTTTGAAATGGTATAAGAAGTTGTTTACGAAAGAGAATCACGAGAGCTGAACAGCCTCGTTCTGATGTTTTTGGTACATTTTAGGATTTATCAACAGGGAGAGGGTAGTGGTCAGCGGTTATGGATGATGTGTATGGTCGTGTTTGCTTTGTCCTTGTGGTTGTTCGAAAAAATCCAAACTTTGAGGCAAGTCATAACAATTAGGATATTATTCTGTATATGTAGCTGTTCTTCTCATATATGAAACTAAGAGAGAATTCTTTTCGTATTCAAGCGGTGAGCGCCAAAAACTATTTTCTTGAAGAAAGGCTGTTGTAAAAGGCTAAAATCTTGTTATTCAGAAAGTTTAAGAGAGGATGTCAGCAAAAATCGACCATACGCCGGCAACAGCCGAAAAATCGAATTCGCTCATATTTTGGTATTAGGAAGACCTTGA